TTTCATTTCTAATGCTCTAACCAGACATATATGCTGGACAGACTTTGTTGTGACCTCAAATACAGAATACAGTGGAGATTAAAATTGGATAGATCTGAAATAAAGCTATACATGCCAAAATTCTGGGCATAATGAGCATGGAGGGAAATATGACCCAGAAAACACTTGCTACTAAATATCTTAAATGATCAAGAAATTAAATAGGAGGTCTGTGGTGACATTTGCCCATTTCTATGAGCTTATTAAGACCTGGGTATGCCAAGTTGTTGAGGAGGATAGATATTCACTTGATGCACTTGTCACTTATATGTGAATTATTATGACTTTATATGCAAACTAGGCATTTTAATTATGATTCACTTTTAAGTGGAATGCAAGTCATTTATGTACTATACCAATACACAAGAACAAATTCAATCAATTGGGATGCAAAAAAGAAACTCCTACATCACCTCTACCCCCACTTGACAAGAACTTTTGTCTTTATATAAATACAAGTCATCATTTTTATTAAATATATACATTTAAATGGCTGTCTATTAAGTTCAGACCTTATTAAAAGCTCAGTTCACTTTAAATTTAAAAATGACAATTTATGAAATGATTCCAAACATTAGCCTGCAGATTTGAATTGCCACATTTGCAACAGCTTAGCTTGCTCAATATAGAAAATTTTGCTGAAATGAAACAAAAAGAATGACTATAAGCAATTTATTTCTCAAATAATATAATTTTTCTTTTAAATGTGCACTTTGGGCAGAATCCATCACTTAAGTAGGCCTCTACAACCAAATCTGAAAATCAGTTTTGACTCGACAGTGACAGTGTTGTTGCCTTTAACAATGCAATGGCCATTCTGCTTCTGTCTGCCTAAACACTAAAATATGGTAATGGAGATGAAAATCTAATATAAAAAATTTGAATGGTGGAGCAGGAAATTATATATTGAAAATGTTATTTTTTTCTACAGTTTGACATTGCTATGAAAATTGATGGTATAGCTGTAAAGTAATGGAACCAACAGCTAAAATATCAAAATGTTTATAGATATCATTATTTTATTTTATGAAATGCCCTTAAAATAGACGATAAAATTTCAGTTGTGTAACCAACTAAAACTAGTCATTGTCTATATCCTTTCATTTGTAGATAACTTGTTCTTAACTGTCACCTTATTTTGTTGCATTCACTGACCCCAACCCACACCCTCCTTGCTTGGAACCTAAATAAACATTCAAACATGGCCTGAAAAGTTGGCAGTCTTGTTTCAGATAAGAAGTTCCTAAAACTTTTGCAAGTACATGACCAGGCCCAAAGCATTACAGTGTTATTTTCAAAGAACCCCTATAGCACAAAGACATGTGTCTTCACACTAGTATAGTGGTCGTGTATTCAAACCATAGTAGTAACTGGTGTAGGGGAAGATTAACTGAACATTACAACAGCAAGTTTTAGGGAATGTTCAAGACTGTTCATTTTTGGTGAAGTTCTGGAAAATAAACAAAATTGTGTCTCCTTGCTGTTAAATATGATGTAATGACCAAAACAGGCACTTGAGTTTGAAATGATTCTTTAGATCAAGTGATTATTGAAGGCCACAAGCTGTTAAGCAACAAATGATCATCCTAAGGAAAATTTCAGCCTCTATATATTTCAGTTTTTTTAATATTCTTGAATTAAAGCTGGAAAAAATGTTTCTACTAATAATTTCCATACACTTTGGAAATTTTCATTAATTTACTTATGTTAATTTGGTCTAAATTATTTTTGAAGACACTGTACAAGTGATTAAATGCAAATTATCTCATCAGCAAGGATGGAGCAGGATATTTTTGTATTGGCTAGCAAACCCCTACCCCACCCAACTTGAAAATAATAAACTCATTTTGACTTGTATTAATGACCCAAGTCTGTGTGGTCTGTGTAAACTAATTTGGGTAAGCATGTCACTGAAACAGGTGTAAACCCCATACCTAAATTGTTGACCTGCCTGTAATCAGATAAAATGTTGATAAACAAATTGAGCCATTAAGGCAGCAAGATACTGGCTTAATATTACCATATATACTTGCTTAATAACCATCCCCAACTGCAAACAACTGACCTTGATATGCCATTGCATAATCTTTCAGTAAATTATTGACTTCCTAGCAAAGCTGACTGGAAAACTAAATTTGCCCATTGGAGAATTTGAACTTGCTAAAACTTATGACAACAAAATATCACAACTAAAGTGAAAAAATATGGTAAAATAAAATATAGAATGTTTTAAGCAAATTAGGTTATATTTATTTTACATAACTAAATTTTGTTTACATTTTATCTTTATTTCACCTTAAAATCAAGTGTCAATAATTAAAGTTATTAAAAGGGTATGCAAAATAGTACATGCAGATATGAAGAAAAAAGGAAGAATTAGAATGCAGATAGATACATGTATACAAATAGATACATGTATACAAATAGATAAATGGATAGGTAGATAACGGTTTTGGAGATATCCAGATTTTATGTGAAAGATAGATTATGGTAAAAAGACCTTAATTCAAAAAAAAAAGAAGAACAGAACTGCAATCACTTAAGTTTAATGTTTAATATTTATAACATTTTTCTTGTTCTAGTTTCATTTAATGATGCAGCTTTAAGAATCTGTCCAATAAGAAAAGAAGGTAACAGGAGTTACTCAGATTCTAATATCGATTAATTCACTCTTTGCTTTATTTCTGGGGGAGTGGTACCTCCCCTTGTGTATCTACTTCCACTTTCATGTAATTCACCCCACACTCCTTATACAGAATACAATAATTAGGTAAAAAAAACAAAAATTTTGCAAAATCAATTGTACAATATACCTTTTCTAGAACAATAAATTAACTCCAAGTTCTAAAATGCAATTAGCAGGTCTGTTACACAGATAGAAAATTTGGTCATGAAATCAAGTGAGCATTTCAAACTTTACTTGTCAGGTATATCTGCAGAACTTGATAACTGGTTGCAAGTCACTCTCCAGAATTAATAGTTGGTTGTGTTGATTTGCATTCGTTCCCTCTGGTCTTCACTCTCAGACATGGAATCCCTTGTATCTGAAATATGTTATTTTCCTTATAAATAAAATAAATGCTAAGTAAATTTTTGTTGTTTCTAACTTCCAGAAGTGAATACACTTTCCCCTTTTACACATCAGAAACTGTGTAAAAATTTACAGCATACATTTCACTGTTAATTGGACTCAGGTCATAATAACTTTGCATTCAGAACAACACTGCTGTCTAAAATGGAGTTTATCTCTTTCCATAAACAATTAACATTGTACAGGAAAATTGATGTATTTCTCCAACATAACTAGTTTCCATCACTAGTTGTTGGATAACATAATCTGCTCTAACCTAATAATAATTAAGCTTCTAAAGAGTGAACTGTTATAGTAAAAGTTATGTCATGTAGGCATTAAACACTATTTCAGAATTGAGTGTCATTATTTAGAGTTTGTACATATCTTTAAATTGCATTTATTCTAGATAGAACCAGATCTGCCGATGCACTATGTGATGGTAGATATGGGTCTGTGTAGTTTGCATTGGACCAACTTGTAAGCAAGTATACATGTATATAATACTTAGAATGGTTGATACCACTATATATGCTCTGTCATATAAAACACTTATTTCCATCCCACAGGTACAGAACAGAAGCTGTCCTAACAATATTGGAATTTAGATCTTAAGAAATATACTGTAAACTTTCATTTGTTTCCTTTTTATTTTAGCAACATTGAGTCACATTTGTATAACACATTTGGGTTTCAGCTTAGTTATTAATGTTACTTTTTCCTGTTTCCTGTTGATAGAAGTCACATTTGTATAACACATTGGGTTTCAGCTTAGTTATTAATGCTACTTTTTCCTGTTTCCTGTTGATAGAAGTCACATTTGTATAACACATTGGGTTTCAGCTTAGTTATTAATGTTACTTTTTCCTGTTTCCTGTTGATAGAAGTCACATTTGTATGGACTTCAGTTTAGTTATTGTTTCTTAATCCTCTTTTCTGTTGATAGAAGAATAATTTTGTCACAAATTTTGAAGTTTGAAGATAATTTGTAAACCTAATTCCTTTTGTCAGCATTTTAAAAATTCACTGAAAACATTTAGGTCATATCATTTTTCCTTTGATTGAACATGACACTTAAAACCTTCTTATCTTGTCCCAAGCAGGATATAAAGGTTACCTTTGGAGTTTTCTCTTTGTTTGAACAGAACAAGAATGATTTTAATCTCTTTGTTTGAACAGAAGAAGAATGATTTAAGTCTGAAGTTTGGGGTTTTCTTGGCTGTATTTTCAATAGGTTTTGATAGGAAATAAACTTGTCAGAGAAGCAGTGGTATTGAGGAAGTAAGTGTATTAGATTTTATAATTATTTTTTTTTCAGGACAGATTTAGGACATCCGAGTGGCTGAGTGGTCTAAAGCGCTCTCCATTACAGATCACTGCCATCTCACCTCTGTCTAAGTGGGTTCCAGTCTAAATTTCGGCGAATGTGGATATGTGAGAAAGCTTGCCAGTATCTTCTTGTGGGTTGGTGGTTCTTTCTGCGGATTTCCCAGTTTCTCCCTACACCATTAATACTGGCTGCCATGTATAGCCTATCATGTGCTGAGAAATGGCATTAAGCCCCAAAACAACAACAAATCAGGACAGATTTAAAGTGAAACCTTGAGAAAGTTAAGTAAGAAAATCTTATGAATCTTATTGTCTTCAAATGAATATGGTGAAATTATATTTTCTTTACATGATGATGACCACAGAATATCATGTTTAAACTATATATTATCTTAATGATTATCAAAAGTGGAATTTGTATAACTTTTATCTACAATTTTCCATATTATAAGCTATAACTATACAGAATCAATTTTGGTAGTATGGGTTTAGATTGGCACAAAACAAACATTTACATTTTATTTCTGGCAATTAGTCTAGAATAATTTCTTTTCAACAGATTGCTCCAGTAGCCTAGTGGTTAGAGTTTCTGCCTTCGATGCGGGAGATCATGGGTTCAATCCCCAGCTGTCATACCAAAGAATTACAAAAATGTTACTAACAGCTGCCTCGGTTTGCGCTCAGCATTAAGAGGTTGGTGATAGGAACGGTCAGCCTGGTGTCAGGATAATGTGACTGGGTGGGACATCATGGGACATGATGCCCCAGTGCTAGACATCTCTCTAAACTGCCACAATGCAGACATTGTAGTGATTTGACTGAAAAATTGTAAAAGCTACATTAAAAATCCAAATCACACACACACACATCAATTTCTTTTCAACTCACCTAGCCATATGGCCAAGTGAGCTTACAGTACGGCCCCTGTTGCCATGATTAGTCATCCATTGTTTGACAATCAGCTAATTCCAATTAAATTTAGATCAGACTTTGGATATGAGATTGTATCATGGTAATGAGTTAATTAATGAGCAAGATTCATGCATATTAATGAAGTGAACTTGTACCTGATTGGCCAACCATGTTCCCACTCTGGGGTCCATGTTTCTGATCAAACTTTTATCAAACTTGGAATGTTTACCTTTGTCATTAAGATTTTAGATGAGTTTGATAATGAGTGAGATATGCATATATTAATGAGGCAGTCTTGCATTTGACTGGCTGAACTACAATAATAATAATAATGAGGACTTTATAAAGCTCTTAATCTGTAGAAGCTTAAGTGCTTTACAACATTTGACAACCCTTAAAAAGAATTAAAAATACATATATAATGAAATGATTACAAAATTTAAAAACAAACGCCATAAAAATAGAAACAGAAAACATGCTGTAAATTTTTAAGGTAAGGATACGTTAAAAAGGATACATTATTAGGTCATTATGACTGTTCTTGCAGTTGAAATAGATGGGTTTTAAGGGTGCTCTTGAATAAGATCACTGTCTTTGTGTCTAAGTGCAGTGGGCAATTCGTTCCACGTTGCTGGGCCCTGGTATGCAAAAGAACGTCCATATGATTTTAATTTCATAGTGGGAATATTGAGAATGCGAGTGTCAGAAGAGGAGCATAAGCATCTTGCAGGTGTATACACATGGGTGATGTCAGATAGGTATGTTAGTCTGGAGCCTGTCAGTGAAATGTAGCACAGAGAACAAATTTTGTGTTTAATTCTGGATTGTATGGATAGTGAGTGTAGGGTACAGAGCAGCGGAGAGCCATGCTCTGATCGTGGTACTCTAAGGATGATCCGAGCAGCAGTGTTTGAACTTTTTGAAGTTTCTGAAGTAGATATTGAGATGAACCAGACAGAATTGAATTACAATAGTCCAGTCTTGTAAGTACTAAGGAACACACAAGTGTTTTTGTAGCATCAACTGACAGATACTTGCGAATGGAGCTGATGCATCTCAGCTCAAGATATGCAGCTCAATATATGTTCATGACATGTTGATGCAATGAGAGAGTACTGTCAAGAGTGACACAGAGGTTTCATACTGACTGCTTGAATTTAATGTTAGTGTTGCTAATATTTAGTGTCTGAGGTAAAGGATATGAATGAGAAAGTCTTTATGTTGTAATCAGGATGGCTTCAGTTTTATCATCATTCATCTGCAGCTTGTTACATGTCATCCATTATTTCACATCAGAAATGCACTTCTCTATGTCTTGGATGGTAGCTTCAACTTCAGCTGGATGGCTAGATTTGTATATTTGGGTGTCATCAGCATACAATTGGTGAGACACTGGATGATGATCTATGACACTTGAGAGTGGCAGAATGAAGAGAACAGGTCCAAGAACAGACCCCTGTGTAACACCACAGCATAGATCAACTGGTCGGGAGTGTTTTCCATTTGTGGACACAATTTGTGTCCTGTTGACCTAGTAGGACAAGTAAGGCCATATTGTGAATGCCAAATACATTATGGAGACAGAGAAGTAATATATCATGGTTTATAGTGTCAAATGCTGCAGACAAGTCCAGGAGAGTTTGGACTGTAGTCTTTCCGCCATCCAAAGCAGAGAGAAGGTTGTTGATTACTTTCAAAAGAGTGGTTTCAGTACTGTGGTGTACATTGCTTAAAAGACTGTTTGAATTCAGATGAGATACAAGTTTGGATAGAACAACATTTTCTAAGATTTTTGACATGAATGGGAGATTAAAAACTCAGAAGGCTGTTTTTGATCCAGTTTTGATCAGACTTGGAATAATGTGCTTAATTATCGAGATCTTGGAAAATTTAGATAATTAGCACAATGCATGCATATTAATGAGATGAGCTGATTGGAAGGGAATGTTACCAATCTGGAAACCATATTTCCAATTTTCTAATTTTAATTGAACTTTAAATATGGGCATTTAACAAAAAGGTCTTTGACAGCAATGAATGATATTCCAGCATATTATAAAGGTAAGCTTGCATCTCAGATTTGGCTGAGCTTGTAGGAAGAAATATTATCTGATTATGATTGAACTGTGAATATATGTTTACCTCATCAAAATCTCACATGAATTCATTGAAGCACAGGATGCATGTAATTTAATGAGTTCTTGCACATGGCTGTTTTAGATTGTTACCACTCGAAGGATTGTATTTCTGATCCATGTTTTATCAGACCTGGTAAACAGGCTTATATCATCAAGATCTTGAATGAGTACAATTATGAGCAAGATCCATGCATCTTAATGAGGTGATTTTGCATCTGATTGGCTGAGATTTTCAACAGTTTAGAGACTATTTCTGATCATAGTTTTTTTTTTCAAACTTTGTGAATAAGTTTATATATGGAAGATATATAATGTGTTTTATTATGAGTGAAACTGACATATATTGATAAGGTGATCTTGCAAATAACTGATTGAACTTCTTACATATCATACACTAGACTCTCAATTATCCAAGGTCTGGTGGTGGCTAGAAGAAAACTTTAGATAATGCTGAGGTTAAAATAACCAAAGGTCATGAAGGTGTATGTGTAACTCAGTCCACAGAAATAAAACAAACTATGAATTCAGTTAATCTTGTATTCAGTTTCCTTACTATGTAAATAGGAAGCCATTTATTGCCACAGCATAATAAAAGGACAAAAACAATATGAAATAAATATTGTTACGATTATAATAATCTGCATAACATACAAAAAAAACAAAGTTATCATTGTCATAATTATGATAAAATGCACGGCATGCCAACTTAAAGTTGCCATCATTATAATAATCAGCATGGCATAGAAGACCTTATCATTGTCATGATTATAATAATCTGTATAGCATAAAGAAAGACAAACTTATCATTGTCATGATTATAATAATCTGTATAGCATAAAGAAAGACAAACTTATCATTGTCATGATTATAATAATCTGTATAGCATGAAGAAAGACATAATTATCATTGTCATGATTATAATAATCTGTATACCATAAAGAAAGACATAATTATCATTGTCATGATTATAATAATCTGTATAGCATAAAGAAAGACATAATTATCATTGTCATGATTATAATAATCTGTATAGCATAAAGAAAGACAAACTTATCATTGTCATGATTATAATAATCTGTATAGCATAAAGAAAGACAAACTCATCATTGTCATGATTATAATAATCTGTATAGCATAAAGACAAACTTATCATTGTCATGATTATAATAATCTGTATAGCATAAAGACAAACTTATCATTGTCATGATTATAATAATCTGTATAGCATAAAGAAAGACATAATTATCATTGTCATGATTATAATAATCTGTATAGCATAAAGAACGACAATTATCATTGTCATGATTATAATACTCTGTATAGCATAAAGAAAGACATAATTATCATTGTCATGATTATAATAATCTGTATAGCATAAAGAACGACAATTATCATTGTCATGATTATAATAATCTGTATAGCATAAAGAAAGACAAACTTATCATTGTCATGATTATAATATTCTGTATAGCATAAAGAAGTACAAACTTATAATTGTCATGGCATAAAAGAAAAACAAACCAGTCGTCATATTTCAGTATACATGTAAATTAATCAACATCAAATTTTTTAGATTTGATGAGTCTATGAATCGCTTGATTAGTTTGTTTTTAGTGTGATATTCACTTATCTTTAAATGTTTTTCTCCTTTATAAACAAAACATTGAAGAGATTTGTTAAGTACAGTTTATTTTGTACATTTTCTATTGAAATCATATCCTTCCAACATTGCTAATTTTTCTATTAGGAGCTCTGGTGTTTTCTCATAAAACCAAGTATGAGCAGAGAATGTCACACTCTCAATCATGGCATCTTTGGTTTGATTCTGGGAAAAATTGTTGTTTTGATCTTTGGCTTTGATTTTTTGCATGATTTACCAACCATGAATTCCATCAAGGTCAATAAATGTTTGTCAATCTTAAAGAAACACTCCATTGCATGACTATCAACCACAAAAATCTGGTCTGTCATCTTCTGTATCCTCGTGGTCCTCACATGTTAACTTTGTCATCCGATAATACCATTTTTAATTATTTCCTTGTTTTTTTCAGCCATGTTGATAGTATGTTCACTGAACTATTGTGCTCTTTGGCAATTGCAGCATTGCTTTTCAAACTGCATTCTACTTCAAGGATGGCACTATTTTAGTTTCTATACCTTTTGGCACTGTCTTCCACTTTGTACTTCTTCCAGTCTCCATGACTTAGTGATTCAGATACAATGTATAAGGTAAAGTGTCTTACTTTAGATTTGTCTAAAAATACATGTTTAGTCAAAAGTGGCTTTCAAATGTTTTATATGATTTTCCAGTTCTCTTTTATTTGATCTACTTTACTTAAAATTACTGCAAATGAATGAGAGTCTACTGTGTTATCATGTTGATGGATGATTTGTGGCTGACCTGGCAGTCACTGCTAAAAAGAGACTAAAATTTAATTGACTTCTCAGAAATTACTCAAGAAAAAAAATTACTAAATTTGACAGACATCATCCTGGTACAGTGTGCTTTAAATATTTTACAATGGTTGCTGATCCATTATCAAATATGGCTGCCATTACTAACAAGAGAAAAACTATAAACATCG